TTTCGTGGGTGAGAAAGCGGGCGAAAGACACAAAAGTTACATGTCGAGTCCGTACGGACCCAGCTCCCGGGAGTGTTGGCCCGTTTTCTGCGAAGGCTTAGTGGGTCTTTCTTCTAGCAAAGGCAGAAAAAATAAGAGCAATTTATGAACGCTGAGGTTTAAAAGCATAATGTATATGTTTAGGGTATTTTTTGCTAGCCGAACGCTGCTGCTGCTGCTGCAGGCACCCCCGTACGCCCGCGCTCAGAGGCAGCAGCAGCAGCAGCTAGGCAGTGCGGGGAAGGCCCCTGGTCTCCGAGAACTTCAAGCTTGTTTCTCTTTGTAAACGCCTTCTTTTTTACAATGCCAGAGAAGAACAAGACTGTGCGGGTATTGCGAAAGTTGTGAGAGGAGCTGTGGTTGTTGCTGCATCGGTTGCTGCGTTGCAGTGTACGTTCAGCTGCTGGTGCTGCTGCCGCGGACGGAGCTGGAGCTTTGGCGGGATAGGAGAGTGTGATTTCATTTCTTTTTTCTTTTTTTATTTCTTTCTGCATCTAAACTGCGCCCGACGCCGCCTCCGATGCTCGCGGCCACCCTCCCCTTGGGTTTTCTAGGCACAATGGAGCAGCAGCACTCTGTCACCCCGGGGGCACCCCAGGGCACCTTAAGCTACCAGCTTTTCGCCGTTGCTTAGGAGGCCCCAGCAGGCCCTGCTGCCGTGCGCGTTTTGCTTCGAAAGCTTCTGCTGCTGCACTTGTGCGGCTTCCCAGCGCCTCCGCACGCAGCGCGCAGCAGCAGCTGCTGCTGCTGCAGCTCCTGGGCGCTCTTGTCGAGACCTTACCTTTCCCAGTGCAGCACAGGATGGCAGTCGCCGCCTACCTGACCCCAGAGGCGCCCCAAGGGGCCCCGGCGGACTGGCATTAGCAGCAGCAGCAGCAGCGGCGGCAGCAGCAGCAGCAGCAGCAGGCACCCAAGGCGAGCCAAGCGACGGGCGGCCGTGGTTGAGCTCACCACACAAGGCGGCGCAGACACACCAAGTCCACTGCTGCAGCTGCAAAGCTGCAGCAAAGCTGCAGCAAAGCTGCAGCAGAAGAGCAGGGGGCTGTGCCTCGCAGCTGCAGCAGCAGCGCTGCAGCAAAGCTGCAGCAAAGCCGCAGCAAAGCTGCAGCAGAGCTGCAGCAAAGCCGCAACAGAAGAGACGGTGGAGCTGCGGATTGAGGCGCTGGACAGCAGCAGCAGCAGCAGCAAGCAGCACACCCTGTAACTCCTCGCGCACATTTAAAAGCAAATTAGAAATAATAGAACCCAAAAGATTTGTTGCTATTTTTCAGAAGCAATTAGAAAGGAAATGACGAGGCCCTTCATCGAGCCGGCGGTGCAGCCGTGCATGCGACCACTGCACGGGCAGCAGCAGCAGCAGCAGCAGCAGCAGCGGCGGGGGCCCCACCGCTGCAGCGGCCCCTGGCCGCAGCGCCCCCTCTACGGCTCCTACAGCGCCTCCATGGCCAGCATGGCGGGGCAGCGGGGGCTGGGT